ATTGCAGCATTGGAAAGATAAATGTATGGCCCCATTTATTCAATGGATTGAAGACCTGATTATGCTTGCCACTTATGAGCGGATTGCCTATAGATGTAGACATTGAATGGACAAGTATAATGACATATGGGACTCATTTATACAAAATACAGTTGGTTAAAAAAAACATGGTAGTTTTATAAATCTATTAGAAATATATATGTAGTTGAAAAATATTTCTATTAGATAAGCATATATAGAATTGAAATTGTGTATTGTTATAATTATATATTAACACTTATTTTCTCTTGTATTTTTTCACTTTTTTGTTAAACCACTTTATGTATTTTTTCTCTTAATTTTTTAAAATATTTTTTTAATTTTTTTAAAAAAGCAATATTACCTCCCATATGGCAGTAAAATGAAAAATCTGTCCAAAGACAAATGCTGTGAACATCCTGTTACTTTCATATATCTCTCTCTGTCATTGCATTCTTTCCTCTGCCCACCTCGTTGGTTCCATTGCAGTCCCATGTTCTCCTTTCAGCAGGGACGTGAATGGCTCCATAGCTAGGTGCTTGAATTGAGAAAAGGTTGCTGTGCTTCATCAGACAGAAGACAGAGAGGCCTTGGGGCTGGGAGCATGCAGTACATTAATGAACAAAATGAATGTATTATATAACTAGAATATAAACATTGTTCTTGTAGGATTATGTTTTTGGTGCAAAAATCAAGGAGGCAGTAAGGCCAAATAGGTACTGTATTACATTGAATTGAACCAACGGGTGTGCAGGAATCTTTGGAAAATATGGATGGTGGGCTTCCTGAAGAAGAGAGAAAAAGTTTTCTAGAAATTGGGAGGAAAGGGAGTTACTAAGAAAAATTGCAGCGGCAGTTTTATTCAACATGGTTTTGCCATGACTGGAATCAGAAAAGAGATGCTGAATATGAAGGAAGAGACTGGGTCATGAAGAAGGGGAAGACTGAGAAAGTTATGGTTGGATGGAGTTCATGAGATCTTCAGGCAGAGAGAACAGAGAAGGTTAAGAAGAAAAGGCAAGGGATGAAGCCCTGTATGAATACAAGAGAAGCAAGGATGGTTTGCAACAATAAAAAAGTGTGGAGAAGTAAAGTGAATGGTGTTGGTGCAAACTAGATTTAGCTTTGTTTTCCTTCCCTTTCCTTCCCTTTCCTTCCCTTTCCTTCCCTTTCCTTCCCTTT